AGCTTTGCTAGTTGAGATTTAAATTGACTATAAGCCATGTGATAATTGGTAGGTAAGGTTTTATGGTTGATTTTCCATGGTAGCCTTACCCAGTACTGTCCATCATAGTACTGTACAGTTTCTAAGTATTGATTGTATGCACAGACATCATCAGGACTTGGTTGTTCAGGAATTATTCCTATGGCATCAAGTTCCCACAATTGAGGTACAGATTCTAATCCATCATCAATCATGTGGGGGATTTTAAGTGGTGACTGTTCTTTGCCTAGTCATGCCACTATTACAGTTTCTGTATGATGTGATTTTTCAGGAGTTGAAGGTTCAAGATCTAGTATAGGTCCTGTCATCAATATGCCTCCTGCTGATTTGAGTATATTCATACCCATAGATTCTTCTGATCCCAGAATGAATCGATGATAGTAGTCAGCTCCAATCAGGATTCCGATATCCCCTATGTAGTCAGAATCAAGTAGAGGATCTGCTAATTGGATTCCTTTTTCTTTTAGGAATTTAATAGTTGCTGTCAGACCAGTCACTTCCATTTCAGTAGGAATTTTATCAACTACTATGGCTTCTACTGTCCTTTGGGATGTACCTAGACAGACATTGAGTTTTACTACTGGAAAGGTTCTACGACCAGAATTAGTAAAAAACCCTGATATGGATGTAGATACTTGCTTTGAAGATTTAAGTTGTAAATCTTCTGCCATCTTTTTACTGATAAAGGTTTTCTGTGACCCTTGATCAAAAAAGCCTCTAGTTGGAATACAAATTCCTTGATTGCATAGTTCTAGCTGTGCAGTAGGCAATATGGCTGTTGTAACAATTTCTGTATCCAAGTCGTTGACATTGCTCATTACTGTACAGAATTGTACGGCTGTTGTGGTATTATCATCTTTGGGCTTTGCCTGAGATGCAGGTTGATTATTGGAAGTCTGTGATCTGGATTGAGTGTTAATATCACCACAGAGTGCTGTGTGATGTACACTTTTATGACAATATTGGCAGTTCTGCAATTGAGTGATACACTCACTTGTATCGTGCTTCCGTAGACAACGGATGCACCTGTTCAGAGATTTCAGTCGATCGATTCGACTGGCACGGCCTACATAAACTGTGCATTGATAAATGGTATGTGCTTCTTGACAGAATAAACATTTTGGGGCACTTGTAGCTCCTTTTGTCTTATCTGTCTTAGGAGCTTGGTTTCCTACAGTTCTGTTAACTGTGGGGGATATAGCATAAGAGCCAACATTATTCTGTTTCCACTTTGCAGAAGAGGAGTTTTGTTGCCTTGATTTTTGACTGCCATTCTGGACATTTTTGCTTTTGTCCGTGGATTCACCTTTGGGGATTTTTTCTTGAGATCTAAGTTTTCCTCGGCTTCGTAATCTTTGTACGTAAGCTCGAAGTCCATCAAAGATTTGGCTTTGTGATAAGATGTTGTTACAAGTATGTAACACTTGTAGGTAAGTAATTACATGCAAGTAGGTCATACAAGCATGTAACACTTGTACTCCTCCAAGGATTTCCTTAAAGGATGAATTGTATCTGTAATAATGTGTATCTACATTATTCATGATGTGATGAAGCATTTTGCTTTTTCTTTTTTTTTCTCGGCTTTGCCTTTTCTATTAAGTAAGTCTCTTTGAGATGCTTGATTAACTTCAGATTTTCTGAGGCTGCTTTCACTCCAGTGAAAGCATGAGATTAGGTGATCAAGACTATATTCTTGGATTAAGATAGTTATCTTAGATGGATGATAATATTTGTATTGACATTGTCAATGTGTTGTTAGCCTTTCAGATTGTGATGTGAGATTAAGATTGGTCTTAATCCCCAATTGTAGACTATTGTAGCCAAGTGATGATGACATTTGTCTATCACCTGATTTAAATGGTCTGTAGGCTGTAGATTCAAGTGATTTTTTAGACACTTTGTGTCCTTTTCTTTTCTGTTTCAGCTGCTGGTGGAATACTGTTAGTCATTTTGACCTTTTCCGAGTTTCGGAGATTCCGAGATTTTTCTCTTTTTTCTGATAAATATGTATGATGTTAATGTATTTTGATAAATGAGCTTTCCTGTCTACTTAGGTAATGATTCCAAAGATCGTCCTTCATTTCCTCCCTGGAATCTGGTTGTAGCAGGTGTTCATTATCAAAAGTACTGTAATAATTTGATTTGTGACCCGAATGCACGAATGCACCAAGTTGGTAAATCTTGTAATAATTTTTTAAAAATAGTAAATGGCACTATTTTTGCAAAGTTATTACAAAATCTGTTACCATAATAATTGTTAGATAAAATACAGTAGAATGTCTACTGGTTTTACCTGTAATATAGGGTATGATATAGTTGATTATAGTTAGATTGTAATGAATGCTCTTACAGTGATGATAACACTTTTTTAAAGAATATTATGTAATGAGCAGCTCTGAAAATCAGTAGATTAGAGATAATGCTAGATAATACACTTAAATATACATGTAATGTTACCACAATGAGGTAGATAATTGATATTTATGATTAAGATGCAGTTGTGTCTGTGACACTGATATACTTAAGTACTGTGGTTTCTTAACACAAAACAGTATCAGTATGCTATGAATGCTTACTAGTTAATGGATATGGTGGCTTAAGCCACTGCAAACTATTTGTTTACTTAGATATATAGCTATGATAAATATTGGCTGATAGCTAGGTTAGGCTAGAATATGTAAGAATTATTCCAATGCAAAATCAAGAAGTTTCTTATGTATTTGGCATTGAAATATTCGGTAAACGAATGATCATAAATATCTAGGTACAAAGGACCATTATTATCTAGGTTCGAAGGACCATTAATGTGGGAAAAACCTGCTGGGATTGATATAAGAGGAGACTACCAGGGACTTGTACTGAACTAAATTAAAAATTTACTGTCTGCAAATTAATTCAACTAAAATCTCTAGCTAGGGTTGTAAATCCTAGATCCTCTTTTCCTAATGACAAACTGTGGGCTGTAAGGGACAGGTGGGGTGAATGACTATGTTGATAGAAGTTCCAATCCACCTGTAGACAGGGATCTCACATCAGCTTGTATTTTATACAAGGATAAGATTTGATAAATTCAGTTATCTGACTGAACACTGGCTCTGTTTAAATCAGGGATTTAAACATACATAGTCTAACCTAGCACCATAACTTAACAGCCAATATGTTCTTATACTATAAACAACAAATTAAATTGTAAAAGTATAATAAATGACCTTAAATGTAGTCTAAACACTTAACTAAGTACTAGATATTATATTCAATTAAATGAACTTATATGATAACTTAAAAATAACTAAGCAAGCAATTGATAACTTAATTTATATATTCAAATATATATGCAGACATATTCAGTTTATACAGTTAGCTTGACTGAATCTTTTCCAACTATGGACACTTGTGAGGTTTTTACTTATTGAGGCTGAATTCTTTTCTGACAGAATGGACACTCATGAGGTTCAGTGCTTGGATAAGATTCACAGCTACACTACAATTTTAATAAACGTACCGAAATGTGAGGCTTAGCCTCGCTTTTTAACCAACAGACAGATTTATAGGATATTAAAGCTACACAAGCATACAATTGGCCAATCATACACCAAATAACCTTCAATATACTTCTCTGCCAGTCGGGGTGCCTGTCTGACAAGTTTGCCAGACTGATTAACTCTCTTGTTGAGTTTAGGCACGATATTTTGCTACAGCGTTGCTGTATGATGATCTGGTAGCGTTGCTACGTGATTATCCTGCAGTTGCAGAAGAATGATTAGATAAAGTTTATGAATGAAGGTGGAGGAAACCGTGTCACTGATCTCCACTATACACTCTATTTTATGTAATGTTCTAGGATTTTCCTTGTAGATATTGTCCAGGTACTCCCCCAGTTCTAGAGAGTATTCACTGGCGATAAAAATATTAGATAAGGTGTCCTTGAGCTGGTAATGTTCGCTAAGGATCAGTCACTTGTTCACTCATTTGTAAACAAACGCGGAGTGCCGCGAGGCATCGTCGTGGGCGCTTCTCGCCCCCCGAGATGCTCCTCCCTCTCCCTTGAGAGGTAACTTTCAATGAATATTGATTGATTATTTTTACAGTCTAGACTTATGATTAAGATAAGATGTGATTATAATATAATTAGATATAAGATTTAAAGATTATAAGTAGTATTTGAAAGTACCACTGAATCTTATTAAGGATTCGATTTTTAATCCTACCGGATGTTGAATCAATGTTCCAATAGTTTTTTAATTAAGAAGTCCTTCTAGAAGCTTCTGGATCCTTGAAAGATCATGTACAAAGTCACGTAGGCATCAAAAGGGCCCCTGTTGCGTACGTGTTCATGGTGCCATTGTCATCCAGGATCAAGCTATAAAATGAATCTTTAATGATTCAAATATGATTTTGATACAATTTAGATATGATTTTGATATGATTTAGATATGATATAGAAATTATACATTTCTTAGATGATTATTAGATATGGTGGGTAAAAATTTCCCACACTTGCATATACTTGTCCTGTATACACATACATACACAAATACATACACAAATACATACATCAATAGTCTTTTTCTATCACTAGTGGTTCAATAAGTGGTCCATAAGAAACATAAGTCTCTACAGTACATAACGGTCTCTCTAAGTCTCTGTAAAGATACTTATAGAGACAATAAACCATTGTAAACCAATTACAGTGGTTTATTTGTAGATACAGAAGTTACATATTTAAGTACAAAACATTTTGGTCAGAATTTAAAATGAAATACTTAAATGTTTAGAGTAATGGGGGTAAACATTTAACTCTAAACAATAAGGAAGTACACATACCATAGTATATGTATTCATCCAGAAGTCTAGTACATGATGTATACAGTACCTGAAGTGATAATGATGCAGGGCATATGTTAACATGTATTTCCTATTAGTCATTCTCAGAGCATTCATACATTATTCTAATCTTACAGGAACTCGTCCCTGAGTTTTACTACCTTCCCGAGATGTTTGTCAACTGGAACCGCTACAAGCTTGGTGCCACTGAAGAAGAGGGCCTCGTCGACGATGTTGTCCTTCCACCGTGGGCATCTTCACCTGAAGAATTTATTAGAATCAACCGAATGGTGCGTAGTCATGGCTGTATTTTTGTTTTGTTTTTATTGCGGATAAATTACATGATTATCTTCTAATCTAGATCAATGGTTGCCATAAATGTAATTCATAAACTGTACCTTTGATTACAGAATCTTGATTTCCAGTAATCATAATTTTTCTTTGATGTGAGTTTATTGTTAGGGGGGGATGGCATCAGACAACATTGTGGGGGGAGGCATCAGACAACATTGTGGGGGAAAGTATCAAACATCATTGTAGGACAAGGCATCATCATAGATGTTTGATGTCGTCCTCCTAACATCATGGGAAGGCTTATTTAAGTTCAAGTCCCTGTTCATCCAAGACATGCTTTTTGAATGACACCCAGTGTCTCACTAGTACCAGTTATGACCCAGCATTCAGTGTCTCACTAGTGCCAGTATGACCCAGCATTCAGTGTCTCACTAGTACCAGTATGACCCAGCATTCAGTGTCTCACTAGTGAGACTTTACTTCCTTTTCATGTGTGTGTGGATTGGGTGTCTAACCTATTGTAATAACTCACCGTTTTCTTTTCTGTAGGCGCTGGAATCTGAGTTTGTCTCATGTCAGCTGCATCAGTGGATAGACCTTATCTTTGGATACAAACAGCGCGGGCCTGAAGCAGTGCGAGCTACGAATGTCTTTTACTACCTCACATATGAAGGCTCTGTCGACTTGGATTCAATTCAGGATCTAGTGATGAGAGAGGTAAATATGGTGACCCATTCATATTTATTGTAAGACTTGTGTATGGTAGTTTATTTAAGCTTACTTTTAGTTAGTAAACTGTCAGAGGTTTGTGTAGCAGTGAGAAATATTTAAGTAATTCATGTATATAGTATGTTTAAATATTTTTGTATTTGTTCTATTCTAGAAAATAGACAAAATTTAAGACCTTATTTTTGTCACTCTGTGTTTCCCTGTGTCTGTCTACATGTGTCTGTGTCAGTCTCTCTGCATCATCCCTGTGTTCCTCATATCTGTGTCCTCTCTGTATCATCCCTGTACTGTTCCTCATATGTGTCCTCTCTGTATCATCCCTATTTCCCTCATGTCTGTGTCTTTTCTGTGTTCCTCTGTATGTGAAATAAATTTGGTAAAACGTGTCTTGAGGATTAAATGAAGTTGGGATTTTCACATGAAATAATGTGCAGAAGTATGTAATTATCAAAAGAAGACACCAAACTGGAAAGACTATTTAGCACTGTTTGTGTTCTGGGATATTCAAAGGCTTAAATAATGACTCAGGATCCCAAGCAACGTCAGAGGTATCTGATTCACCAAAGACTCTTATCAAGGGCCAAGTGACTCAGATGGACTGCGGGAAAGCAAGACTTTGACATGAAGTGACTTCGATTTTATTGGGCATTATCTAGCTGGGCAAAATCAGAAACATGATCCAAGTGAACTGAACATGAAAAAGAAAGTTAATTGTCTTCAATGTTTTAGGTTAGGGAGAATTAACATACAGTATATGTTGATGCATATAATGGGTTCAGAGACTCAACCCCACAATTCATTTAGCTAAACAAGTTACAATCTTGATGAGCTAGTTACAAAATTCAATGCACATCATCACATCAACAATGAGCTCGAGACCGACTGCAAGCTAGTTGGTTTCAATTGATATTAAAAAAATCCCACTGATTCCATGTAAAAGACCTTCAATAACTTCACAAAATGCCCAAGCACCTGTGGTCTAAGGCCCAAAATTGATAATCAAGATGTTATACATGAAACCGGAGCAAATCCCTGAACTGCAGGTTAATGGGGGAGATACCAATAGGCATCCTGCAGATCCAGGGAAATGAGCCAAACAAGGCTGGTGAACATGGGACACAGTAGTCATTCGTGATGTTTAACAGGGAATATGGGTGTTTATTTGTGCTGAATAAACCTTTCCAAGAAATCATGTGACAATGCATAGAAAGGATAGATAGCTGCACAGGACCCTGAGACATAAGATGATGTACAGAGGATTAAATCCATGTATGACCCTGGGATTAAACTCAAATGATCCAGGCATATTGAGTCCATACCCACCTAAAATCCTGTCACTAGGGTCTACCATAAGAGGGCTACCAGTTAGAAAAAATTGGGTCACAGATGGATGCCATAGGCATCCATCTGCTCTGTTACACTATAAACTGTGATGGGAGTAAGTTCACATGCACACAGGTCACTGATACACCAGGACCATTACTGTATCCTTTGTAATGAAGCAGGTTTCAACCAAAACATCGGGTGAAGTCAGGGGCATATCTACTGTGAAACTAATGAAGCTTAAGCTTCAGGGCCCATAATCTTGAAGCAGGCTGCTGAAGAGACTTTAGTCCACAGCTCAAGCTTCAGGGCCCCATGAGAGGTCCACTGGGTGAAGTGGTTGGAAAGACAAGAATGCCACATAAAATCTAAGCAACCACTTCCTCCAAAAATGGTCAAGAACAAAGTGGTATACAACAGGGAAACTGTTCATTTTGCCTCCTAAATTTTTGTTTAAAATAACTTGCCGGCAGGCACAAGCTGCCTGACACCGTATCCCTCAGAAGCGGCACTAACAATTTGGGCAAGATCGCCGTTAAAGATTGTAGCTGCACTGCAAACAACTCCTGCAACAATAAATCACATAGATTCTCTGCTGTCTCTTAGTACAGGCCACGAGATCCAGAAAGATGATCACTATTGTCACATGAGGAACCTGCAGTTTCCCTATTTGTATGTTGGCTCGGTTTTCCTGCTTTACTTCTCTTCATCACCCGTTTTGCCTTATTTTAATTCCCTTACCCTCTCTTTCTTGTTAAACTGGATAAGGGTCCAGATTGGACTGAAGCATTGTTACGCTCCTCACTTTTCATGTTTGAGGCTGGGAATTAATATATAGCCACGTTATTGTGACGTATTGTCTGCACATGGAGCTTCCATGGGCTGGCTCAAACAATGCCCTGTTGACAATATGAAAATAAAGCCCAGGAATAAAGACCTTACTATTTCAACTCCAGAATCTGAAATTGACAACAAAATAAATCCACATCTTTTTGGAAGAAGTTTTAGATGTTTTATGACTTTCATTATAAGTGTGTCTCCTCTCATTAGTGGATTAGTTTTTTTATCCTTGCTTTGTTTCCACTCTGCGGAGGAGGCAAACTTGTGTGAAATGGTGTTTTCTGCTATAGGCTGAGATCTTCACAAAAGCATGGCATTTGTATCATGTCCCAATGGGACTCTTAATATTAAGTTAGGAAAACTACTGATGGGTCCTCCCCAGAAACAGCAAATACTGGTAACATGAGAAATACAGAGGTGGCATGACAAGATTGAAGTGCTGTGGTGTGGAAATCTGCATTAACTTAGCCGCCCATAAAGTGGAGCAATATGTAGCATTGCTTGCTAGGTGTGGTAGCTGTTATAAGTAACACCAACTTCCAACTTACTTGACCATGGGCCATTTTGCATCAGTCCACATAGAACAAAAGTTGCCTTGTGTTTTAAGGAATTATAATTTCCGTGGTCAAGTACAGGAAGCGTGGGTTTAAACTTGTCAAGGTATCCTTAGACCCATGAGTGCAACCCACAACAATTGCCCAACTCCCAGGTACCTAGATATTGTTAGGTGAATAGAACCATTATTTGAAAGGAAACATGCCAGCTTTTTCTGTCCTGCTGGGATTTGAACCTGGACCCCACTACTGAGAGCCAAGTCTATAGACTAGTGTGTTACAGGACCCATTATGTAATGTCATTGACAGGATACTGTGTCACATTGTGGTCTGTTCATTTTCTATACCTCTATACAATTAATTCTGTTTTCCAGTTCCTTTCAATTTGTTTTCTTCCACATTGTCATGTCTTTATAAGTGGAAATTTCATGGCTCACTTACATAATAATTAAACCAGTAAATGGAATACTGGACCAAATGTCTCAAGCATGCCATCAAATCTTCAATAATTAAGGTATTTGAAATTTCAAGAATAGATCATATAAAGATCTTGTTATGACACTGCTAATGTTAATGCCGTACATTTTTTCCAGGCCATCGAGAACCAAATTCGGAACTTTGGACAGACCCCATCACAGTTGTTGATGGAGCCCCATCCACCTCGTTCATCAGCTATGCATTTGGTGAGAATAATAATAATAATAATAATAATAATAATAATAATAATAATAATACACTGTAATAATAATAATAATAATACACTGTAGTAATAATAATAATAATAATAATAATAATAATAATAATAATAATAATTTCACCTGGACTCTAGGAGACTCAAACCACGAACCCATGTGTGTGAGGCTGAAGCCCTATTGACTAGGCTAATAATAATAATAACAACCATATATACCATAGGCAATACACTGGATAGGTTAAAGTGGTTTGCCATTTGACAAAGTAATTGTTTATTATGTAATGCCACTAGTTATGGACAGCATTTTGGGCATAACTTTAAAATCTTTGTTATTTTAATTTTAGGTGTATTGAGGGTAACACATATTTTGATACAATAAGCTAACATATGCAAAATGTTGAAAAAATTCAGCAAATGTTAGTTTTCTGTGGGGAAGCCCCGTTGGCTCCCTGGAGCTATCGGACTGATATGCAGTATATTAGTTTGGGGCATCAGTCAATTGGAGTTCAGCCTACTGGGGACCACAAGCCAGAACCTGGCCCCCTCAGAGAGGCACAGGGAGTAATAGCCTATGGAAACACCCATGTGGTTGAGAGCATTCTGTGTCTGCCATCAACCGGGGTTAGGCACCCAGAAAGATAGGCATAACAAAACAAACCACACTTGGTAGGAAACAAAAATTGCAACCGAAGACCAAACAGAGGCAGAACACTCCAAACACCTAAAGAAACAAATAAACAAGCAAACGTCATACACTGCTGTCATGCCATTTGTCCATACAGCCCTTCCCTCCCCTGGAGGGGGAAGCGTGGACTGAACCCTCCCCCTTCCCTGGAGGGTAGGGAGAAGCCCTGGACCCCCCCCCCCCCTTGCACCGGCTACTCAAACCTCCAGTTCATTGGCTGATGCGATCAGGGGCGGTCGTCAACTCTGACTTAATTTCTTGGCAGTGTTTTGCCTTAGTGGTGTTCTCTGCTGTTTTGCGGTGCAGGTGGCCAGATGTAACTTCAGTGTTCTGGGGCTGCATGTGCTTAGGGTTACCTTCCTTAAGCACCCTGTAAATACTACCCTTGGGTTCTAGGGTTACCTTCCGTAGAGCCTTCAGGATTTCACTTCTGTAGAGGTTCTTGCTGCTCAGCATTTAACCTGCCCTTTGGGCCAGCTGGGGTTTTCTTGGCCTTTGTTTGACCTTGCATAGCAAGTGGTATTGTTGCTGGTAGAGGCACAAGGTGCTGCACAGTTTGCCTACCAACACAGTGGCTATGTTCCTGTTCCTTCTGGTGACGTTGTACTTTTGTGGGGGTTTTCTTTTTGTTTTCCTTGCCTGGAGGGGGTCTGCCTTGTTTGGCTGTTGGTCCACTTAAGGTATTTTGGTGGCCCTCCTCTAGGCCCCGCCATGCTTGTACACATCGCATGGGTTCAGTTTTTAGCTCATTCCCCTTGTTAGTTCTTGGGTTAACCAGCTTAGCAGCACCTTGCCTGGGCTTCCCATAGCAGACAGCTTGCGGGCCCTGGGAAAATCCCATCGGAGCTCGGTAGACTGATGGATGAGTTTTCCGAGTTCCAGCTCGCCATTTGCGAGTTTGAAGGTTGCTCTGTGCCCTTGTCTCAAGGTGACAGTCACCTCTTTTGCCTCAGTCATGCTGCCTGTTGGGTCAATGACACCTTTGACCCAGAGTCTTGCGAGACGTGTTCTCTGCTTGTGCTCTAATTGATCCATTCTCTTGACATTGAAGTTCTGGTACAGGCAGCATCTGCATTGCATGCTCAGTTTAGGTTGCTGCAACGCGCTGAATTAGTTGCCCTCTCGGATGCCCCGAGGCTGCCCCATTTTGGTTATAGATACCTGGACTTGGGGGCATTAGTTGCTTCGACTCTGGTTCAGTCCACGCTTCCCAGTTGGTGTTGTTCGCTCTGCTCCCGGACCCAAAATGTCCGAGGGCTCTGAAGTTGGGGCGGGTTTTAGTTGGTGATGAGAGACTGTCAGCTTCGAGGCTACTCCATTCGAGTTGGGGATGGAGGCATTCGAGCCTGCTCTTTTTGCTGAGGCTTCTGGGTCCTTCTGCCAGACCCCTTTCTTTGCTATCTTTTGCCCTGGACTTAATTTGCCTTTTCTTCAGAGGGGGGGAGGGGATAGAGGGTGTGGAGGATGGCTCTGCTCCGGGACCTGGTTTGGAGGATCCCAGGGCTGGGGAGGAATTGACCTGGGGGGGGCTTGGGCTGCCCCATTGATTCCGCTTGGGTTTTTGTGCCCTCTTTGCGGGGTTTGTTGTTGCAGGGGGGAGGGGTTTTCTTATCCCCCCCTTCCAAGATGAGTATGATTAGGGGTTGGCTCCTCCCTGGGTTCAGTTCCAGGTTCCCTTGGGTTCCTCAGCTCCTTCTTAACGGAAGTTTTCTGCATCTCGAATTTTGCCTAAGGAGGTTCGGGAGGCTATTGCCAAGTACCTCCTGCGAGACCCAGATTTTGCCTCTGTGATGGATTTGTCCTCGTTTGAGTTCGGTTCTTCTTCCTCATATTGGGTGTATTATGAGGTTCCGGGGTCTTCCTGGCTTGCAGACTGTCCCTTCTTTTCGCAGGGAACATGGAATGGATTTTGTCGGACCCACATTCTTGAATGGCAGGAGGCTACTATCATTCTGCAGGTTTATATTGGGGGAGCGAGTTTGGGCGCCTTAATGCATGTTTATTTGCCCATGTGCTTCCTTGGAATGTTGGTCTTATGCAGCTGCATGTACAGGTTCCCACCCTTTTGGCGGCTTTGGTAGCTGAGGACATGTGTGCTAAAGAGCATTTGGCTTCGGTCTTGCACGTCTTTTCCCTTATCGAGCTGTCCTCAGAATAGCTTGGGGAGGATGTGGAGGCATGCCAGGCCTTCGTCTGGTGCACTCCCCTTGGCGGCTAGGGCATCGGTTGCACTGTTGAAGCTGTTTGTGCCAATTCTCAGGAAGGCGGTGTCTTTGTTCTCTGCTTCTCGCCTTGCATGCTTCCAGGCTGTGATCGCTCTCTCCGTGGAATCTGCTTGGGCCCTGACTCTTACGTTTTCATCGCCTTTTTGGCCTTTGCTGTTTGAGGAAGCTGCTGTTGCTCAGTTGCTGCAGGCGGCCTTGTCTAGTTGTCATCCTATGTCGGACTTGTTGGTTCTCCGAGGTGGCCGTTCTAGGGCTTCTTGGATGGGTCATGCCAGGGCTCAGGGTTCTTGCATCGGGGTGGGCAATTGGTGCCAGTTTCTGAGTCAGTGCTTCCTTCAGAGCTAGCATTGTCTGGTCGGCGCAATGCTTGCCCTGCTCGTCGGCCAGCACCTTATAAGTGGCGTTGGCCCTTTTGTGGGTTGCCCCGTTGATGGGGCAATGGGGGGAGGCTCCCACTGTTTGCTCACGCCTGATCCCATGATTCATGGGCGTTTCGGATCGTCTCCTCCAGCCTGTGGTGGTGTTGGATGTATCCTCCTCCTCCTTCGGGGGGTTCAGGCTGGCAGGGCAGGATTCTTTTCCCTGCGTTCCTTTGGGTCATCTTGGAGTGGACGCACCGCTTGGGTGTGGTTGAAATGACCCTGTCCCTCAGGAAGGTTTCCCGCCGGTTTTCAGTGCCGAAATGGGACTGTGCAGATCTGTGCTTCATTCTGGACGTGTCATGTCTGAACCCCTGGATTCCTTGCCCCTCCTTTCGGATGACCACTCTGTCTCGGGTTCGGCTCCTGTTGGAGCCAGGTGCTTGGATGGTGTCTTTGAACTTCTGGGACATATGTTGGCACATTCCGATTCATCCGGGGTTCAGGGACTGGCTAGGTATAGTTGTGGGGCAAGCTTACCATTTTCGTTGCTTTCCTTTTGGCTTGAATCTGGCACCTTGCGTATTCACGTGTCTTACCCGGGTCATGGTGACTCGTCTGCATCTGCTAGGGGTTCGGGTTCTGGCCTACCTCGACGACTGGTTGGTGTGGGCTCCCAGCCGGTCTGCTCGTCTGCCCGCCAGGGGAGTGGTTCTTTCCCAGCTCGCCGGGCTCATGTTCCTGGTGAACTAGAGGAAGTCCCATCTGGTTCCATCCCAGATTCGGACCTGGCTGGGCCATGTGTGGGACTCTCGGACCGCTTCCATGTTTCTTTCTCCGAAGGCATTGCTGCGGCTGTGGTCCTGCCTTCAGCTGTTTCTGGGGGATTCCCGGGTCACTTGATGGTTGCTTGAGCAGTTGTGAGGGAGTCTGAACTTCGCCATACTGGTTTACTCGCCAGGTCAGGTCTGGTTTCGGCGTCTGTTCTGGTTACCTCGGAGACATCCCTCCCGTCTCTCTTGCAATCGCTGGGTTCAGCCACCGTGTGCCCTGCATCGGTTGCTACGTTGCCGGCTTTCTCTTTGGGTTTTTCGGGGTTCAGTGCCTTGGCATCTACTCGAGCCCTCGCTCACTGTGTTCAGCCACCGTGTGCCCTGCATCAGTTGCTGCGTTGCCGGCTTTCTCTTTGGGTTTTTCGGGGTTCAGTGCCTTGGCATCTACTCGAGCCCTCGCTCACTGTGTTCACGGATGCCTCATCTCACGGCTGGGGTTTTTTGACCAGAGCTCACCAGGCCAGCCAGAGGTGGTGGGCTCCGTCCTTCCGTCGAGCTCACAGCATGGTGCGGGAGTTCGCTTCAGTTTGGCTGTTGCTCCGGAGGGTTCAGGTCACTTAGGGTTCCATGATCTGGCTCCATTTGGACTGCTCTCTGGTGGTTCATTGTCTGAACCATGGGGTTTCTCTACGGTCTTTGGCTCTTTGGGGCTGGTTGCTTTGAGTGACTCGTATGTTGGATTCTCAGGGTTTGGCTCTCTGTGCGGTTCATATACAGGGAGTTTCCTTCGTCCTGGTGGATGGCCTGTCTCGGTTCATTCCCCTGTCCACGGAATGGATGGTCGACGCCGACTCCTTCAGTTGGCTCTGCTGGAAGTATGGGCTCCCAAAAGTGGACCTCTTCGCGCCGGTGTGGTCTTGGCATCTGCAGATGTATGCAATGCCCTTCCCTGACTGTGGACCCGTCACGGTGAATGCCTTTCGGCAGGATTGAGCGAGGTGGGGTTACCTCTACCTCTTCCCCCTGGTCCAGCTGTTGCTTTGGGTCCTGGCTCATTTGGAGACTTAAAGCAGAAGTCGTCCTGGTGGCCCCTTGGTGGCTGGCCCAGCCTTGGTTTCAAGCGCTGCTTGCTTGGTGTCCAAACCCTGGGCATTTTCTGCAGCTCCACCTCTTTCAGCAGGTTGAACCGGTCTGGTACATTGCTGGTTCGGTCTACTCCTCCGATCTTCGCGTCTGTTCATTTTGATGCAGATGTATCGCCACAAATATGGTGATCAGGTGGCTTCTTTGATAGTGTCTCACCTGCGAGCTTTATCTCGGCGACAGTATGAAGTCTCCTGCTGATCTTTTTGCCATTTTCTGTCCCTACCATTCTTGGTGCCTAACCCCGTTTTTTTTTTTTTTTTTTTTTTTTTTTTTTTTTTTTTTTTTGAGATATATACAAGAGTTGTTACATTCTTGTACAGCCACTAGTACGCGTAGCGTTTCGGGCAGGTCCCTGGAATACGATCCCTGCCGCGAAGAATCGTTGTTTCATCCAAGTACACATTTTACTGTTGCGTTAAACAGAGGCTACAGTTAAGGAATTGCGCCCAGTAAATCCTCCCCGGCCAGGATACGAACCCATGACATAGCGCTCGCGGAACGCCAGGCGAGTGTCTTGATAGCAGATAAGGAAAACCCCTAACCACAGGGGAGGTTTTCCAGGATCATTGCTCCCTGAACCTCACTGAGGGGGCCAGGTTCTGGCTCGTGGTCCCTGGTAGGTTGAACTCCATAGACTAATGCCCTGGTCTAATATATCACACATTAGCCCGATAGCTCCAGGGAGCTTCCGGGGCTCGCCCAGAAAATAGCGTTTCATTACATTCAACGCTTGTTTTGTTTTTTTAAGCTTTTTCTCTCCAAAACTTCTGAATTCCTTTCACCAACTTATCCTGCACTTCTAATATTTATTTACCCTGTTCGTTGGTTTTCTTCTGGATTCTCCTTTTAAGGTAGTTATCAGGCCCCCAAATCACTATTGATTGTTGTAAATCTAGAAACTATTTCATTAACCCCTTCTGATCATCTTGTAGTTTTATATTTTCTCATAAATTTTTCATTAAATGTAATGAGTAAAAGTGAAATAGGCCTTTGGCTTCAATTTCATCATTGATATATGGATTGCATAATATATCCACGATGTTTTAACATTTACTGTGGCACATCAATGAGCAACCCATATATCTTATAATATTTGTTTCATTTTAGAGTAATGCTTATGTTATTATCTGATTATTATTGTTATTTTTTCAGTCACCACTGATGTTTTCTGGTGTATGTGAGGACGTGTGCATGGTGATGAAGTTCGTGAGCAACTCCCCCATCTGTCACATTTCTGCCAATACGTACCCTCAGCTGCCTCTCCCATCTGTTGTTACACTAACAAACAATCATCATTTTGCAATCAACCGCTGGAACACAAATTATTCAGGTACTCCTCTTTGATTTTATTACTCAAAAAGTGAAGTGAGTTTTTATAATATAGTAACTTTATAATGCAGAGCAGTGTTTCCCAACCTTGAATGTCTCATTCCCCCTTTTCTAACGACTTTCTCACCTGTGGACCCCAACAAGGGCTAACAAAATTGACAGTAGCCATTGGTTTGACAAATACACAGTTATATACAGATGACAAGTCACAATAATGTAGGTGAAGATATGATATTCAGACCACACAAAAAATAAAATAACATTTCACTCCATCTTGGACCATTGTTATTTCTTCATTTTCTGATGTGCGGTTTGTACCTCACACATTCAAATGTCACAAACCCTGCACTGTTATAATCAGTTAAATCTGTATGTAAATGAAAATGAGTTATTCAGTTCAACACACTAATAAGTGGTCCTTATTTTGTTAAGAGTACAGTACAGTACATAGTTTTAGTCCAATGGATAACCCCTTGAAACTTCTCTATGGACCCTAGTTGGAAGCCACTGGTGTGGAGAATGTCACAATAGCATGGTGAAAAGTTAATAACCCAACCCCATACACATGAAAGGAAAATGAAGACTCTTTATTTCCAGGACGGCTTGAAATCTCATGAATTTCCTTTCTTTTCATTTGTATGGCTTGGGCTGTTATTGATTTACAATACAGTACAGTAGTTGTAACTTAAATCTAATAAACTTAAGGTGTGTGTGTGTGTGTATATATTCAATTATATACTGAATAATTGTATATTACTGTACATTATCCAATTACAGTAGTTTATTAAATAAAACATTTTCACATTTTATTTCATATCACTGATTAAGACAAATTCTCTTCCAGTCAATGTACAGAGCCCCAGCTATGCAGAAGGTAGCCAATCACCGTCCACTCTCTTGCCTCTGTCCATGGATCCCGTCCTACGTAAGATACATCTTCTCGGTATAATTACATCAATTAAAGTTCAAAAATATCAACCTGTCATCCAAAAATGATGGTACCTTTGACACAGTCCAGGATTTAACCATTACATAAGAATTTTAGTAGACTTGGTTCAATACATATCTGAAATAATACAGAAGCAAATATTGTAACAATATACAAAAGGGGAATTACAAATATCAAGAAGATGACATTTAGGAATATCACACTGTCTATAGTTATGAATGGTAATACACCATATAGAATGTTGCATCAAAAAAAAAAAAAAAAATCCACATTTTATTTTATTAACTTTGTAGAACATTCAAGAAAGAAGGCAACAACTAAACAAATATTTTCTTAAACTTAATATGGTACATATATATACTAAATTAGGCCCAAGATTTTGCATGTTGAGGTTTAGGGTTCCTTATTTTTAGCACAGACAGATTTGGTTAGTTTATATCTAGGGTGTTTCAGTTGTTGTTATGCCCTTTAGAATATCAGTAGCACAAAATGTGACCTTTTTTTGGGGGGTACAACAGTCCATATTTTGTATATCCCCTTTATAGCAGCTAAATGTTCTATCAATTTTTGGAGGATGGGTTGAAAAAACATACAGTATTGAAATAGAAAATGTGCTAAAAGCAGTGATGATTATTACATTTTATGTAGCCTAAAGGAATTGTATACCAGTATGTATTAATGTAATCCTCAGAACAAGCTGCGTCAGGCAACAGTAGCAGTCAGCAGCAGAAACGTCATCTAGGAGACAACTTCAGTCAAAAAGTTCGGATGAGGAGCAATTGCTTTGTAACCACTGTTGACTCTCGTTTCATTATTGCCTGTGGCTTCTGGGACAACAGCTTCCGTGTGTTCTCCACCGAGACAGGTTGGTTTTCCCTCGTACTACGTGGTAATATTCAGTATTCTTCATTACTTTAACTTGGATCAACCCATTATTGGTTAACCTCTGAGATGTAGATTATTAGGTGAGTTTTCCAGTCTATCTTCAGGTTAACTATTTACTGATTGAATGTACTATATATTCCAGAGGCTATAACTGGACTGAGACTTGTGTTTTGCCATTACTATATGTATATATTTGCTTTTAACTCAGTCTACATATTTCTGAATTAAACTATATGTGATCGGATAGCCATAGACCTTACTGAATTGGTAGTATAATTGATTGTAAAGATAATTAATCGAGCATCGAGTATCCACTCGATTTAATGACCAAGATTTAACGTCCCACTGGATTGTTACAGCCAGTCTTGAGATGAGTATTTATATTCTCATTTACTGAGTCAACATCCAGTTGGTTTTTCGTAAATTTTCCGAGCTTGCCGCTAGGTAAGCAGGCAGTTATTACTGGGTTTGTTTTGGCTCAACTTTGCCCTTGCTACTCCAATGTTTTCCATAATGTTTTTGTGTAGTAGGTGTGGTAATGTTCCAGTATTTTAAGCATATAGTGACTATGGTAATATACCAGTCTTTCTATGCACTTGCGTATGGGATGGATGAGTGCCTGTGTGTGTGTTTTTGTGGGTGGGATGGAGAGCTGTGTGTGTGTGTGTGGGTGGGTGGGCAGAAGGGAGGAAGATAGTTGTATTAATTTGATTAAGAAAGTATTTTGGGGGTCTGAGAATTATTCTAAATATTACCAACATTTAACAACTTCAGATTTAGCAACCATCCTTATTTAGGGAGTATCATATAGCCCCATATAGTTTGCTTGGATGTTGTATACAAAATATTCTTCAAATCTGTCAACCTTGGTCACCTTTGAAAGTACTGTATCAGCAAGAAGTAAAACAACCATGGTTTTCCTCTTTTCCGGTGGTTTATGTATAATGTAATTTTTGCATATACTGTAAATATATTCCCATAAATTTCTGATTAATCATGTTAATATACCTTTAATATCAGTGGCAGACGGTAGATTTGCCCCATTTGTGTCAGAGCACCGAACATTGGAAAATAATGCTGTATGTGTGTGTGTTAGTGAGACGCATCCTGTCAGAAAGAAAAATCAAAACTGGACCAGGGAAACCTTGAACCAGTCACAGAATGGTGTCAGTATATTAATCTTTGCATTGCACAAGGGAAATCAGATATTATTTATATGTGCACAGAAAATGGTATTTAAAATAAGTTTTTGTCTTTGTATTCTGTTTAAAACCATGCCATGAGCATAGGATCAATGTCCAAAAAATCGTGTCTTTTAAGGTGACAGATATTTGAGACCTCAAATAATGATTGAAAACACCTTGTTCCAGTGGGAGTTTCAAATGTTGCAAAACACCTTAGGATGTGATGTAATTACCTAAGTGTAGTTACATGATGAGAGCTACGCTCGTGGTGTCCCGTCTTCCCAGTACTCTTTGTCATATAACGCTTTGAAACTACTGATGGTTTTGGCCTCCACCACTTTCTCACTTAGCTTGTTCCCACCGTCAACCATTCTGTTTGCAAAAGAAAATTTTCTAATATTTTTTGGCACCTTTATTTCCTTAGCTTGAATCTGTGTTATCTTGTTCGTGAAGTTGCTGGTTCCAGAAATTCCTCTTTATCAATTTGGTCGATTCCTGTTAGTAATTACTGTACTAAGTGGTGATCATATCGCCTCTTTTTCTTCTAGCTTCTAGTTATGGCATGTTTAACACCTGCAGTCTCTCCTTGTAACTCTTGTGTTTCAATTCTGGAAGCCATTTTGTAGCATGCCATTGCACCTTTTCCAGTTTATTTATGTGCTTCTTGAGATTTGGGCACCATACAACTGCTGCATATTTCAATTTTGGTCTTTCAACTAAAGATTAAAGACGGGCCTCAACCGGCTTCGGCTACACCAGTGCCTGGGCTCCCCATTGGGATTCCTCCTCCTGCGGGTCCTGGTAAACCCATTGGGGCGCTGTGTGACTACGAATGTCTTCAGAGTCCCCTTTCGCTTTGTGAAAGTTTGAGGGTTGTTTGTTGCCCGTGTCTCAGGGTGATGTTCATCTGTTCTGCTGCTTTGTTGGGTTGGTAACACCTGCAACCCAGAGTCGTGTGGGATTTGTTCCGCTCATCATCCAACTTACCTGTTCTTCTTCGGAAGAGCTTAGCGGTCAGGCAGCAGTTGGGTTGCAGTATAGGTTTCTATACTGCATTTTGGTTTTAGGGACCTGGGATTGGGGATGTTGGTCGCTTTAGCCTTGGTTTTGCCCGCTTCCCTGATTCCTTTCCCTATGGGTGGAGTTCGCCCTGCCCCTTTTCCCGTTCCTGGTTCCCATCAGATAAACGGCGGCTTCCCGGAGCTATCCAGGCTGATATGGATATATTAGCTTTTTAGCATCAAAGTGCATGGAGTTTGGCCTACTGGGGACCACGTGCCAGAGCCTCGCCCCCCTCAAATGAGGCATGAGGAACAATGGCCTATAGAAACCTCATCTGTTCATCTGTTCTGTCATGTTCTGATCCCGTTCATCTGTTCTGCCTTCGTCATGCTGTTTTGTTGGGTTGGTAACACCTACAACCCAGAGTCGTGTGGGATTTGTTACGCTCATCATCCAACTTACCTGTTCTTCTTCGGAGGCAGAACAGATGAACGGGATCAGAACATGGCTGAACAGATGAGGTTTCTATAGGCCATTGCTCCTCATGCCTCATTTGAGGGGGGGGGGGCGAGGTTCTGGCTCATGGTCCCCAGTAGGCTGAACTCCATGCACTTTGACTGATGATAAAAAGCTAATACTGTATATCCATATCAGCCTGGATAGCTCCGGGGAGCCTCTGGGTCACACCCAGAAAATGGCGTTTTATTACATTCAACACTGTTTTTTTTTTTTTTTTTTGTATTGCCAGCTGATGGTCAACACTGTCGCCTCGTATTGTTTGACCTTGGGGAAGCCTCTTTTCCTGGTATTTCTGAATTAGTCTGTAATGTTTTGTAGTGGTTCATTAGTCATTGATGTTTGGTTTGTTTAGCAACATACAAAATATCCTGTAGTTGCAGTGTGGCATTATTTATGTGCTTTTTGCACCTCTGTTAATGTTCCTTATTCCAAGACTCGCCTCTCCCAGGTCACCTGTAAGATGGTTTTGGGTCAGCCAGCCTAATGTATATCTTCACTCATGGCATGTGTAATGTTTGCTGCCTCAATGGCTTTCTTTGCCAATATGTTCACAACTATGGTCAAGGCTTGTAGTTCCTGGCAGTCTAACTTACTGACTGCATGGAAGTCATTAAGTTGGACTTACTGAAACAGTAAGTCCATCCTTGCCACACTTGCACTTGAGTGTTTTGTGCACACCCAGCATTCTTCTGCAATAGACCCTTCTCTGCAGCCATAATAAGCCCAGGCCACCTGTCCTGTTTTTCTGATATTTTCCATTTTAAAACTGGTCAGTCTTCTTGTGGTTCTGTTGCAAGCTCGGGAAGCCATCAAGGGGTCCCTCCCATAAATCAAGCACTGAAGATTATAACATCTTTTTCTGGTAGGCTGCTGGTGCCCTTTTTTACCTTGTCTTTTTTCCCTCTTAGAATTGGGGTGATTCTCAAGTCAGAAGGAGGGGGCTAGCTGGGCTGTCATCTGGTGGTGATCGGGCACAAGACAGTTAGGTTGTTACTCTGTGGCAGCAATCATTGGATACCTAATCGCCTATGCTTCCTGATGTGCTTTGGCTTCCCATTGTTGGGGAACAGGAAGCATATTAGACTTATTGAGGTTACTCTAGGCCATCAGCTGACCTTTTGCAGGATGAATTAGTTGTCTAACCCTGGTCTATTTATTTGCTGCATCAGGTGTAGGAAACATATCTAAACATCTCACTCTGTGTGGGAAGTGAACCCAGGACCTATTGGTTGTGAATTGGCTACACTGATAACTGGGCTGCAGGACACCACTAATGTTGGGTTGACCTGATCCCCAGGTTCCTCTCGCCTTACAGAGAGAACCGGATTCCGGTCCTAGTTCCTGGTAGATAAGAGATGGACTCGCAGGGACATCACACAAGAGATGGACAGGGGTGGGGCGCCAGTGGCTGTGTGAACAGCTCGCTGGACACGTAATCCTGTGAATACAGGCTTCGCATGCAGAATTAAGGCTTAAATGTGTCAGTGTATAAGCTTGGGAGTCAGAAGGCTTATCAGCAAAAGGTGTTTCATTACTCATTAACTTTAAAATAAATTATATGCCTGAAACACTATGTATATTTAGTGATTTTAAATATTATTAAATTTTACTACCTACTAATTAACCACTGTAACATGCTTATTTATATATATATATATATATATATATATATATATATATATATATATATATATATATATATATATATATATATATATATATATATATATATATATATATATATATATATATAATATGTATGTCGTACCTAGTAGCCAGAACGCACTTCTCAGCCTACTATGCAAGGCCCGATTTGCCTAATAAGCCAAGTTTTCATGAATTAATGTTTTTTCGACAACCTAACCTACCTAACCTAACCTAACATTTCTCGGCTACCTAACCTAACCTAACCTATAAAGATAGGTTAGGTTAGGTTAGGTAGGGTTGGTTAGGTTCAGTCATATATCTTCGTTAATTTTAACTCCAATAAAAAAAATTGACCTCATACATAATGAAATGGGTAACTTTATCATTTCATAAGAAAAAAATTAGAGAAAATATATTAATTCAGGAAAACTTGGCTTATTAGGCAAATCGGGCCTTGCATAGTAGGCTGAGAAGTGCGTTCTGGCTACTAGGTACGACATATATATATTTAATGTATATATATATATATAATTTATTTATTTTATAAATAAAATTATCATCACATTCAGTGCATGTCTTTTTATACTTTGTTTCACTTTTATCCAACAGCTAAAATTGTTCAAATAGTGTTTGGCCATTACGGGGTGGTGACATGTCTGAGTCGCAGCGAGTGTAACATCACGAGTGACTGCTACGTAGCCTCAGGTTCTCATGACTGCACTGTTTTACTCTGGCATTGGAATGCACGCACTCAGGTATGCTCCTACAGGGTACCTTTTATCAAGGTAGCATTGGCTAAAATTCCGTATTACTTAATACAGAATTACTTTCGTATTTCAGTATCCCTCGAGCCTTTATCACAAAGTTTCATTCACCCTGTGATTAAATTTCTTAATGATTTTGGTAATTTTTTGTTTTGCTCTATGTTGTGTATAATTTTAAATAGAATTCATTGTCACACGAGGAACAAATATTCACACCAAAATAAATTCCTTCTGCCTTATGTGGACCATTCACTAGTTTAGAAGCACTGTACTATGTTATTTGCAGCAAGCATACATAACTCAATTTAGTGATTTGTGGTATATTTTAGATGTAATAATCATGTACAGTATATTTTAGATGTAATAATGATGTACAGTATATTTTTGATGTAATAATGATGTACAGTATATTTTAGATGTACATAATAATGAGTGATTATGCTTAGTTTCATAATGTATTTTTGCTGTTATCTGAAAGATTAGTTTATAGTTGTCAGAAAAGAATGTTATTACTAGTTTGCTATGCAGACAATTTAATGAAAGTCATAAATTCTTATACAACATCATTAACTCAGAGGATATGTTAAGATATATACAGTATATTTATGTACATGTATGAGTTAGTTTAATTCATTTATTATGCACCACCATATCCATTCTCTGGATATATATACACCAGTTACACAGTTTAATGTATACAAAGATACCTTGGTACTAGAACGGCTCCCAACTCGAATGGCTCCTAACTTGAACAATTTGACACTCTAATGCTGTGTTTGTGCTCAGTACTCAACCATTTGCTCAGCACTCAAACATAAACACATGTAACAGACAAGTCAGTTTCCCACTAGTTGTTATTCAGTGCACACCCCACTAAACCTCTCCGTAAACTTTCTTGTGTTTTCTTGAATATTTGTTATATTCTTATAAATCACTGTGATGCCTAGGAAAGTTAGTGATAAGAGCCAAATGAAATGAAAATGAGTTATAACTATGATAGAGATGGAGAAAGAACTCATAGCAAAGCATGAAAGTGGTGCCCGCATGTCTGCTCTTGCTGCCGAGTTTGGTATTCTTGTATTCTTGTAAGAAAAGCATCCAGTGAATTTCAAGAGGGAAATAGAAAAAGACAGAAAAGAGAAAGAACCCAAGAAGCATAAATACCTGAAATTTTTATGGAAGTAAGACTCCCCTACCAAACAATAACTTCTTACACACAGAGATCACACTAACGTGATGCATCAAATGAACAAATCCACAAGGGCTGTGACGAGGATTCAAACCTGCGTTCGGGAGCATCCCAGACACTGCCTTAATCGACTGAGCTACGACAGGTTTCAACTCTTTTAACCCTGTCGTAGCTCAGTCGATTAAGGCAGTGTCTGGGATGCTCCTGGACGCAGGTTCGAATCCTCGTCACGGCCCTTGTGGATTTGTTCATTTAATAACTTCTCTTCTCTTCCTCACTACCTTCCACATATGCCATCAACTTTTCAAAGTGCAGGTAAAGTGAGAATAAATGTGCATTTATTTAATTCATTTATCGTATTCATATGTGTATTTTCTGGGGGGAGCCCCGTCGGCTCCCCGGAGCTTTACCGGCTGATATGCTAATGTCAGACTTTGGCATCAGTCATATGTATGGAGTTCTAGGGCCTACCGGGGACCACGAGCCAGAACCTGGCCCCCTCAGAGAGGCAAGGGGAGCAATGGCCTATAGAAACCCCCGTGTGGTTGGAAGCATTCTATGTCTGCCATCGACCGGGTCAAGCATCCAGAAAGGTAAGCATTCCAAAACAAACCCCTATTCTGGTGAAAATTGCTACCTAAGCCGAACTAGTGAATAGAACTCTTCAACAGAAAACACGGAAACTAGTATGACGTCATACGTCACCGCGCCGCTGTCTGCGCAGCTCCCCCCTCCCCGGGAGGGGGAAGGGGGAGCCCCAGACCTCCCACGCCGGCTATCCACCCATCAGTTCTTCGGCTGATGCTATAGGCAATGGTTATGTGCTCCGGCTCCAGTGGTTGTTTCAGCACTGTACCTAGAGTGTGGTGTCTGTTTTCTAGGTGGTGCGTGAGCCGGGTGTGATTCTTCAGTACTCGGGCTGCATGCGCCTAGGGTTCCCTTCCCTAGGTGCCCTGTAAGTACTGCCCTTGGGGCTTGGGGCCACCTTCCACAAGTTCCTTGGGTCCTGCCCCTGCTTGGCCGTTTACCGCTTGGTTTTCGGCCGCTCTTTGTGTGCTCGGGTGTTCTGTCTCCCTTGTTCGCCTTAGAGTAAGGGGCAGTGTTTGCACTGGTGGGGCGCGGGGTACTGTGCAGCTTGTCTTTACCAATCATAGCGGCCGGCTCTGTTCCGCTTGGGTACGCTGTCCTCTTGCGGGGTTTTCTTTTTCTTTTGTTTATATACCTGGTGGGGGGGTCTGCCTTCGTTCTTGCCCCTTGTGTCCCTTGTGTTCTGAGTATTTCTGGTGGTACCCCCTGCTAGGTCCCCGTGAGTGTACACGTCCCGGGGGTTCAGCTCTTAGAAAGTTGTTTGGTAGCTTGGGTGCCGGTTAGCAGTACCCTGCCTGGGATTACCTGAGCGCGAGTCCTCTTAAAGTAAACGCTCGGGACCCTGGGAAACCCCTGGGGGCGCGCGGGTCCGATGGATGTGACCCCAGAGCCCCCCCCCTCGCTTCCAGCGAGTTTGAGGGTTGCTCTCACCTTTTGTCTCTGGGTGACTCTCTGTTTTGCCTCCGTCTGCTGCCTGTGGGGTCGGTGACACCTTCGACCCGGTGTCCTGCGAGTTTGGTTGCTCGTTGTGGCTCGGTTACCCAGTTGTGCTAACAAAGCGGGTGCGGGCAGCAGGGGCGTTGCACTTGAGCCTTGGTGGTGGCAACGTTCTCGTGGTTTCCTCCCCGGGAGCCCCGGGGCTGCCCCGTTGTATTTCGTTTTGGGACTTGGGGGTGTTGGTTGCTTCGGTTCCATCCACGCCCCCTTGTCTTTCCCCTGGTTCACCCTTCCTGCCTGCATCCGGTTCCTTACCGTCTGTAGGTTCAGGGCGGGGTGTTTGGTGGTGTTGAGACTCGGGCAGTCTCGGGGAATTCCCCTTCCGGGGTAGTGACGGGGGCATTTGGGTCTGTTCCTCAAGCCGTGTTGTATGAGTCTGCCAGTGGGCTCCCTTCCTTAGTGTTTTCACGGCTGCCCCGGTTTTCTGGTACGGCCGGGGCTTTGGGGGAACGGCTCGGCCCCGGGGCCTGTCGTGTAGGTTCCCGGGGCTGGGGAGGGGCTGACTTGGGGGGGCCTTGGCCCCGTTAGACCCCGTGGGGGGTTTTATCCCCCTCTAGGCGAGGCTTGTGGTTACGCGGAGTGGGGTCTTTCCTCCCCACTCGCCGTACATGCTGTTGGACGTCGGCCCCTCCCCGGGCTCGGTTCCTTGGCCTTTGAGTCGGTTGGTTCCGTCCTGTGGGTGGATGTTTCCTCCCCCGCTTTTTGGGACGGTGTTTTTGTCATGTTTCCCCGTTCGATGGGGTTCTGCGTGACTTTTGATCTCGGGTGCGCCTGCGCCTTCGTGTGCCTTCGGGACTAGTGTTGGCTTCTGTGTTCTCGAGGGTACGGGAAGGTTTTTCGCTACTTCCCGCATTATTGGAACGTCTGTCGGCTCCTAGTACTTGTCGCCCTGTTGGACTACTTGTCGCCCTGTTGGGCTACTTGTCGCCCTGTTGGGCTACTTGTCGGCCGTTTGGGCTACTTGTCGGCCGTTTGGGCTACTTGTCGCCCGTTTGGGCTACTTGTCGCCCGTTTGGGTTCCCTTTTTTTGGGCTCTTTGCTTCTTTGGCCGGTTTTATTGTTCCTGCTTCCTCTTTTGGCTCTTTTTCTCATGCAATAGTCCTGGCTGGCGCCTTCCCGCAGGGAGGGTGTGCGGTTCGGCCAGCGTGTTATGCGCATGCGCCGTGGAGTTTGTTTTGGTCTGGGCGATGGTTCAGTGCTGGGGTTTTGCGCCCTTTTTTGCTACAGTGCTTCGCCTCTCGTTCTTCTCCCTGGCTGCGGTATGTGCCCCTTTGCGCCAGGGGTGTCCTGGTTCCCAGTTGTGGGGAGGACACCGCGGTTTTCTGTGTCTTGGGTGTGGACCGCCTCCTTCGCCTCTCCCTGTTCTCCTGCGGGTCCGGCTCTGGCGTCTTCACCTGGCGGTGCTCCCAAGTTCTTCTGGACACGGTTGAGTCGTGTCAAGTTCGAGCCACCATTCGCCAGGTGAGTTTCTGCGGTCTGGCGTCTTTTGGCCGGGCGCTGGATGCGGCGGTGTTCATATACCTGTCTTTATTTAGGTATAATTTTGTACGACTGAGACCGTTCGCACACCAGTGACTGTCCCTTTATCACCCCTTCCTGTCCCCCTCATGTGCATGTCCAACCCATGCTGGAGTCGTTCAGGGGACCCTCCTTTTTTAATGTTGTGAGGTGTGGGGGTTGTAGGGTTGGTTCTGTACTCACCTGGTGAGGCTCCTGGCTGTGCTTGCAGGATTTGAGCTCTGGCTCTTGGGTCCCGCCTATCTGGTAGAACTTGCGGGATAGTACCAGTGGAGTGCAGTGGTGCTATTGGCGCTTTTGGGGAACACTGTATTACCATCAGTGGTCTGTGCTTGTTACACGACCTACTTGCGAGCATAAGCCTTCTTGCTGGTTCGTCCGTGGACTTCCAGGGCGCACTGGCCTGTTTTCGTATGGCAGTTCCGGCCCGTCCTGGTTGTGGGGGTATGTGGGCCGGTGGACTGCTCCTAGCAGCTGCCTGGTGGGCCATCCTCTGGCCGGTCTGGCCTGACCTTGGGCCGGGCTTGAGGTGTAAAAGAGCTCCCAGTACCTCATCCAGCAGGTATCGAGCGGGGTTTCTCCGCCGTCGGTCGCCTGGTGCAGGTTTCTGGGCCTGCAGGGTTTTGTTGTGTCTCCGTTGGCCCTGTCTGGGGTCTGCCTGCTCCGTTCTCTGCCTTTGCAGGGGGAGTTGCTATTTACA